ACAATGCAACAAAATAAGCAAAAAAACTTCAGAAATTTAAAAACACAATTCTAAGTAACTCATGGGTGAAAGAAGAAATCCTAATGGCAATTAGAAAACAATAAAAATAACATAAAATTTGTAGAAAGCAACTCAAGGAGTACTTGGAGATGTATGGCCTTATAGGATTAAAATTGGAAACATGAAAGATAAAGATTAATGAACTAAGCATATAAATTAAAAAGTTAGGAAAGTTTAGGCTTGGACCAAGATGTGGTAACAGGGATTGGATATATCTTCCTGCATAAAACAACTAAAAAACTGGAGAAACATAAGAAACAAATGATTTTCAGACACTGGACATGAGGCAATAGAGGACGATGGCTCTCCAGAGATAACAGACAAAGAGTCTCAGCTTAATGGCTGGAGAGAATTTTCAGTCTGCAACACAGGGAGAGGCAACCTGCAGCCTTGCTGAGTTGAAGAGATTGATCTGGGAGTATAAGAAGGCCAAAGAGGCTAGATGACACCAAGCAAGTATCAGAGAGGAGAGAGCTTTATAGAGAGAAAGCTCCAACACTAGGTCAAGTGGTCTAACATACGTTTGTAAACTCAGAAAAAGAGGAGGCAGGGTGGGGGATTAGAAAGCACAATCAGTAAACACAAGATTGCCACGGGAATATGAAAGACAGTTTGGAGAATATAATCAATAGTGTTGTAAAGATTTGGAAGGGTATCAGATGGGCACTTGTCTTACCTGGGAGACCACTTCATGGACGGTGTAGGTGCCTGACCACTGCAGTCTACACCTGAAGCTGAATAATAATGAATGTCAACTATAATTTAATGATATACATATATTGGGATATGGAGTACAGCATAGGGAATAGTCAGTGGAGCTGTAACAGCTATATAGGATGTCAGAGGGGTAGATTGGGGGAGGGGGGTTATCACTTTGCCAGGGGTATAAATGTCTATTACATTGTTTTGTACACCTGAAATTGATTTAAAAAAAAAAAGAGGAGGCAGGGTGAGAAAGAAAAACATTTTTTAAAACACTGGCCAACTCACAGAGACAGAAAGTAGAATGGTAGTTGCCAAGGGTTAGGGATAGGGGAGTAAGAGGATTCATGTTTAATGGGTACGGAGTTTCAATTTGAGAAGATAAAGTTCTGGAGATGGATGGTGGTGGCATTTGCACAGCAATGTGAATGTACCTAATGCACATACCCTAAAGTACTGCTAAACTGTACATTTAAAAATGGTTAAAGCAGTTTTTATGTTATGTATATTTTATAATAAAAAGTAATGGCCAAAAACTTTCCAAATTTGATGAAAACTAAAAACCTACAGATCCAAGAAGCTCAACAAACTCCAAATATAAGAAACATGGAGAAAAAGGCAAATGACAATAAAAAAATTAAAAATCAGTGATATTCTTAAAATTCTTAAAAGCAACCAGAGAAAAAGACACACTACAGGCAGTCTGTTGGCACACTTCTTGTCAGAAACATTGTATCCTGAAATCTTAACTCTTTTTAGTCTTGCAGCATTTGTGCAGCTTTCTTATGATTTTTTAGACAATCACATCATTTGTGAATAAAGACAGTTTTTACTTTGTTTCTAACCGGTTGGCATTCTGTGCAATGGCTGGAAACTCCAGTACAAAGTAGAATATAAGTGATGAGAACAGAAATCCTTGCTCTTTTTCCATTTAGGGAGAAAACTTTGTTTTCAGTATATTGTCGGTTTTTTTTTTAAAGATGATCTTTATCAGAATAAGGCATTTACCTTCTATTCCTAGTTTGCTGAGAACTTTTATGAGAAATAGATGTTTTGTGTTTTTCATTTTTTTTCTGCATCTATTGAGATGATCATATGGTTTTTCTTTTTTAGTCTATTAATATGATGAACAATATTGAGTTTTTAATGTTCAATAAGTCTTGCATTCCTGGCATACATTCCACTTGGTTATGATGCAATGTTCTTTTTGTATATTGTTGGGTTTGACTTGATAAAATTTAAAAATTTTTCATCAATGTTCATGAGGTTTATGAGACTGTAGTTCTCTTTTCTTGGAATTCCTTTTTGTTGTGTTGTTTTTAAGAACAAAATAATGTACTTTTAGAATAAGTGGGAAAATGTTCACTCTACACCTATACTTTGAAATAGATTGTATAGAATTGGTACTATTTCTTCCAGAAATATTTGATAGAATTCATCATTGAAACCATCTGGGCCCAAAGTTTTCTATGTGGAAAGGTTTCAAATTAAAATTAAATTTCATTATTAGATGTAGAGAGATTCAGATTTTCTATGATGTTTTGTTAATGTTATGGACTGAATATTTGTGTCTCTCCCAAACTGCAAGTTGAAGGCTTAACATTCAGTGTGCCTGTATTTGGAAATGGGGGTAAAAGGAATTAAGGTTAAATGAAGTCATAAGGATAGGTCCCTGATCCCATATGAACAGTGTCATTATAAGAAGAGGTATCAGAGAGCTGCTTTCTCTCTCTCATTGCCCAACACCAAGGAAAGGCCATGTGAGGACACAGAGAAAAGGTGGTCCTTTGCAAGCCAGGACAGCCCTTACCAGAAACCAAATCAACTGGAACCTTAAACTTGGACTTCTAGCCCCAGAACTGTGAGAAAGTATGTGTCTGTTGTTTAAGCCACCCAGTCTATGGTATTTCACTATGGCAGCCCAATCTATTGGGTACTTTTTGTCTCTTAAGAAATGTGTACATTTTTATTAAGTTATCAAATATATTGGTATAAATTGTTCATATACCCTTATTGTCCATATACTGTTTCTCAGATCTGTAGTGATGCACCCTCTTTTGCTCCTGATATTCTAGAAATTTATCAATTTTATTGATGTTCTTAAAGAACTAGTGTTAGGCTTCTCTGATTTTGCTCACATTTCATTGATTTCTGTGGCTTTTCAAAAAAAGTCACTTCCTTCGCTCTGCTTACTTTGGGTTTAATTTACTGTTTTTCTTCTCTTCTGGATATGTAAGGTAGGACTTAAAGTGACTATTTTACTTCTTTCACAATATAAGTGTTTAATACTATAAATTTCACTCTAAGCTCTGCTTTAGGTGCATCACACAAATTTAGATGTCACATTTTAATTTTCATTAAGTTCAAAGTATTTTCTAATTTTGATTATGATAAGGCGTTTAGAAATGTGTTTAGTTTCCAAACATTTGGGGTTTTTCCAGCTCTTTGGTGTAGCTCTCTCCTTTCCGGTACTCTGCACTGCTAATTATGGCGGCTTTCCCTTCTCTAAATTCAATCTCCTCAATTTATTCATTCATAAAACACATTTTGCTATGTATGTAATTCTGGATTGACAATTATTTTCTTTTGGTCTACTGAAGATACCATTCCACTGTCCAATTACTACTGTTGAAAAGCCAACTGTTACTCTTTAACATTCCTTTGAAGGTAGTATAATTTTTATCTTCAACTTTTATTTTTTCATGCAGGAGTCAAACTGGCAACCTTGCTGTTAAGAGCACACGCTCTATCCACTGAGCCATCTGGGTGGCAGCTCAGCTCAAGGTGCAAAGTTGAGTCCCAGCCGTGGTGTGGGCATAGGCCACCATCAAACAGGCAATCTTGTCATTAGGAGCACGTGCTCTCACCAGCTGAACCATCCTGCCACCTGTTGGCAGCTCAGCTCAGGTGTAGCTTGGGCAAAGCTCACTGGCCCATGTGGGAATCGAACCAGCAACCCTGTTGTTCAGAGCTTGTGCTCTTAAGCAAACTATTAACCAACTGAACCACTTGGCCGCCCCTTTCAACTTCTTTTAAGATTTTTTTGTCTTTGACTTTCCAATTTCACTCTGAAGACACTAGGCTTGATTTCTTTTACTTTATCCTGTTCGAAATGCACTGGGCTTCTTCAATCTGTGGATTGGTGTCTTCCAATATACTGCAAAAATTCTCAGCCTTTATCACTTCAAATAACTTTACCCCATTCTTTATCTGCAGGACTCCAAACAAACATATATTAGACACATTCACTGAATCTCTGTCTCTTACCTTCTCTACTGTTCTTTCCATCTTTTTCTGTGCTATATTTTGAGTAATTTCTTCCAGTTTTTTAACTCTCTTTTCTGTCATGTACAGTTTGCTGCCAAGCATGTTCATTGAGTTTAAGTTGTTAGTTGCTGTATTTTTCACATAAATTAATTTCATTTGGTTCTTCAAATCTACCTCACTTTCCAGTGTTTCTTTCCCTGCAGATATTTTCAAGTTTGTTGATCATTTCTTAAAACACAGTAAGTAAAGTTGTTTTTTAGACTATCTGATAATTCCACAACTAAAGTCTGTGCAGATCCTATTCCTGCTATCTACCACTTACATTGTCTTGATTTCTTGTGTACTATTTTATCTTTGACTCTGTGTCCATCACTGAAATTTTATTTATGGTACTGCTCAAGACACATAATAAATGTGCCTTCTTTCAGAGAGGCATTGGAATGGCTTCTGCCAGCTTCATAAAGAACCTCAAATCATGTTTGTGTTTAAAGTTCCTCAGCCCATCCAGATTTTGGTGCTCAAGATACAAAACCACTTGAAAGTTAATGTGTGTCCACAATTTTTCAGGGATTTTTGTTTTGGTCCTTTTCTTTCTCTTCTTATGGTCCCTGAGTTTGAGGTTGGGTTTAGTTCTAGTTCTCCCTAATTGTGAGGATGAAACCTTTTGGAGTCTCCCCTTAACGTAGAGTTTCCTATAGGATTCTCCAACTTCGATGGACACTTGGCCTTGCCTTTTAACCTCTCTGCTCCAGAAGCCCACTATACCAAAGTGTGAGGTACTGGACATACTCTCAGGTCAAAATGCCTTTTTTCCCTCCAATATTCCATTAATATCCAAAGCTTTGGCCTTGCAACTCATCTTCTCACCTCTTCTGTGTTTTTAGGGGTATATTAAACACACACACACATATACACACAAAACCTTGAAAGATCCATCATCAATGAAGTGATAAAGGGTAGAGTACGTGTTATTTTATGGGGAAAAAAACAATTTTATTTAGTATTTAAAAACTGTTTTCAGCAGGGATGTTAATTAGAATAGTGCACTATTTCCAGAAGCAAAAATCCCTGTTGAATACTTGAATTCTTAATGTATTAATACTAGCCGTATTTTTTCCTACTGCATTTATTCCTTTTCACTCTCTACAGGAGATAAGTTTTAAAAGAATGTGTAACTAATAGTACAGTGTAAGACCTGGAACTAGTCTGATTCTGGACATTTACACAAGTGACTTTGTTCATATTATATAACTCACTGTCCTTGCCTGTTAAATGAAGATAATACTAAATTGCCTTGGTAGCTCATTCTAGCTCTAACATTCTATGAATCTACAAATGTTTCCACAGTTCACCTCCAAAACCTATAACAGACCTTACTGAACAATAACAGCCCTCTCCCCAACTGGCACAGACCACCCTTTCATAACAACACTCCAGAGCCACTCAGTACCAATTGACTGGAGACAGCACAATCCAATTTGTCATCCTTAGTTTTAACATCTTTTCAAATATGGCTAATCAACTTTTTCTGCTGTGTTATACCTTTACTTGCTTTTCTAATAGTTGTAATAGGTTAAAAATTTAAAAAGAAAGTCTCCCCCCCCCCATCATTTATCTTCCAGGATTATAGAGAATTAAAGTACAAAATTCAAATATTCTTCCACTAAAAAAAAGGAAATTATCAGGTAAAAGAAACAAAAATGTTCTCAGCTCTGTGTAAAAGCATTCTATTGAGAACAGTGCTAATGAATATATGACAACCAATAGTGTACTTCAGGTAGATAATAAAAATTTAATAGTAGTATCACAAAATAAACAAAAGTATAAAAATCAAGTTTTTAGTTTTGGTGTTAGAAATAATATACATAATAAATTCATCATAGTACTGATAGTGCCATAAGATAAGATTTTATTGTTCAAATTATAGATTATGCAAATCAGGCTGCTTTGCACTCAAGTTTCAAAAATTCTGCTTTTATTACTAAAAGCATCTGGACTTTAGACATCACTAATGAAACCATGTAATACCTGGCATATTGCAACTGGGGCTGTGTGACTATCATTTAAATGGTCTAAAAAAATCCTCTTATAATGGGAATAAAAGAGGCAGACATTTCCCCCACTTTGGAATAACAGTTACCAAAACTGTCACAGAGTCAAAATAAAAATGATTCCTTTCTACTTTTAATCTCATAGTACCCTTAAAGCACATGAATAAGATAAAGTTAAAAACAAAAAGGGCAACTTTATGGTATATGCTAGGCAATGTTAAAATTCAGGCTAATTGCTAGGTGTAATAGTCCTGGTTCTGGCCATTAAAAAGAAACAGAAGTAATTTACCACCCTTTCTGAATATCAGGAAAAATAATTTTGCTAGTCTTTCATAATCAAATTTTTCAACAATTTCTAAGACAGTTTCTATAGCTAGATTCCACTGTGCTAGTTCAAGAGACGCACTGGTTGAAAAAGGACCAAGAATATAAACTTTAAGGCTAAAAATCCCATCTTCAAAATGTAAATATTTAAATAGAGCCCTTGAGAAGGTTAAGACCTAATTGCTGGCCAAGAAAACAAACAGGTCATATTTAAATACTTACATGAAATACCACAGGCATGTCTTTCACAACATAAGTAATCCTTTCAATCCAAAGACATTTGCTGAAAGTAAAAGTTACCTTACTACGTGGCAAATCTTCTTCAAAACCATTAAGTCCAACCATTAAGTCTGGATCAATGTCTGTTATGCTTTGGCTGAATGATTTTAAAAAGTATACATTCTGTAAGAGGTAACTATAGAACTCAACAAAATAAAATAGATAAAACACTATAATCTTAAATGAAAAATGGTATGATTGTCCATCTTTTTCATGCAATCAGCAAAGGCATCTTAAATCTGATATATCATTTATTAAAAAATCGCTACATTCCCACTGAAGCTTGTTATTCTGATGCACCAAATTTAAATACTTTCATACAGTTGAGGATTAAAGAATGTTCTGAGGATTATTCATCATTATCTGTAGAAAAAAGAAAAAAAATTAATTCATTTCATTGCAAATCAAACTACATGTATCTACTTATAAAAAACTCATTCTTCTTCATTCTAAAGTAAACAAGCTTTAATGTAGTTTTAAACGTAGTTTTATTATATTATCACATACTCAGTGTAAAATAGTCAGACAACCAATGCTAATAATTTTATACAAATCTTCCCAGATCTTTTCCTATGCATATACAAGTATTTTTTTAAAAATTACAACAAAATGCAGTTTTGAGATGAGATTTTCTCCCTTCAAACACATAACAGACAGAAAGATGGATAAATAAATAATAAAGCAAGATTATAAAATGTTAATGGCAGAATGTAGGTGGTGGGTATATGGGTGATAACTGAAAAGTTCTTTTAATTTTTTCATGTGATGAAAATATTACAGTAAAATGTTGAAAAAAAATCAGAGATATATATATTCCATGTAAATTTCAATGGCTGCATCATGTTTTATTTTATGGGTATGGTATAATTAACCATTTCTATTCATAGGTATTACGGTTATTTCCAATTTTTCTTTATTCTAGAAAAACACTGTTCAATGAATAAGAGTGCTTAATTTAATCTTAGATAATAATCACTACCTTCTACACTCTAGCAAAAGTGGTCTTTCATTAAAATCCAAGTCATCTCAAATCACTGCACTGCTTAAAACCCTTCACTAGCTCCGGCTGTCTTAAGACAGAACCTGTGCCCTTATATGGATTATAAAGCCCTTCATTATCTGGCCTTTTAACCACTTTTAGCCTCATCTACTTTCACTGCCTATATTCCCTAAACGTCCTCATAATTTATGCTTTACTAACACTGAATTGTTTCTAGTTCCCCTAATACAATATTTTGCATCCCTCTATGTATAAGTACACATACTGATTTGTGGGTAAATTCATCTTTTAAAATCCATCTCTGATGTTATCTCCCCTAGGAAGAATTCCCGACACCGTTCTTTCTTTCCATACGGCCGGATCATTACTTTATGCAACATGCATTTTATTGCTTCCAATGTTACTCTTATCACTCTACTACTCATTTCATTTTTACAATTACAAAATGTTTCAAATAGGGAAGTAGAGAGAATAAACTAATAAACATACATGTACCTAATATATAGAATTAATAAAATTTAACTTATGGCCATATTGGTTTGGATTATTTCTTAAGGAAAAACTATTATAATACAGATAGAGCGTACCCTTTTCCAATCTTATTGCCCTCTCTTGTTTGCCAGGGGCATTATCAGTATCCTGACACTGATGCATATATACCCTTCTCTCCTATGTTCTGCGCCCCCCACCTTTTTATTATATAAATGCACACCTGAGTAAAACTGCTTTAAAACATTATATGAATGGTTCCATGTACTACTTAGTCAACTGATCATATCTGTGGGGCTTATCCATACTGACAGATGAAATTTTAGCTCATTTGTTTAAGTGCTGTATAGAATTTCATTACATAAACAGTACAATACTCTATTTAAAATTAATGTGGAAGGAGGGTATGTATTTCCTTTTTAAGAATCTATAAGCCTGACTGCTAAGATCAATGCTCTACATGAGGGCATGGTTACCTCTGTCATTCTACCACTGGCCACTGTTACATTCCTCCCCTCTTTGTGGAGGAATATCTTAGGAATGATATAAATAGTTTACACATTTTATTAGCTCTATTTAACTTCTGACCCTGGATCGTACCTACTTATGGGCTAAATGGCATTGATATTACCAATAGCTATAGTTGTAGATGCTTACCAAACTGGCACTGTAATAGTTAATGGGGGAGTTGACAGTTGAAGCTGTGTTTTGAGGATTCAGATAATTTCCAGTGAAATACAACAAAAATGTGTTTTAGACAATCTTTTAAACTAGTACCTTAATGACTCTGATACCACTTTTGGGTTACCTACATATAATTTACTCATCCTCCCCATTCATTATCCATCTCCTCTCCCAATACAGAAAATAAAAGTATGTACTCATAAGCACCATATGCAGATGACATAGTTTTATTATTACCTCCTAGATGTGGCTTAAAAGACAAGTTTATCAGACAGCTAGATCTGGGGCGGGGGTGGTCTAAGTATTTCCAATTAGAAGAGCTCTAAAATATTAATAATTATTCTAAATCCAATCATTGTCTAATGTTCATTGTCTTATGATTAGATTAACAATATAAAACAGCAAGTTAATTTATTCAGACAATTCAATACACATTTTACAGCCAGTTTAGTGAGTTGATGTATTAATACGTTGTAATGCTTTAGGAGCTATAGGAAGATTTAAAAAAAATGTTTCCAGGGTAGGCATTTGGCTTTAATTCCTTTACATTTCTTCTAGGCTAAAGGAATTGCTGCCAGGCTTTATGATACAGAACTCAACGGTCCTCATCCCCTGCTCATTTGTGTGGTAGAGAAAATCTGATATAGCTTTTTGAGGAGTATATTAACTTCACCTGCTTCTTGGAGCTTTGAAGGGAAAATGGCCTGTGTAGGCCTGCATCCTTTTGAAGCCACTCAGCTCTCAAAAGAGGGTGTCAATTCTACCCTGTGGCTCACTTGACTGTTAACAGTCCTCCACTTAAGGAGCAATACAAAAGAAAAGTTTCCCAGATACTTGTCAAGCAAAGCTGAACCCCAAGCACACTGTTGCTGATTATCTATGAAAAGCTGTATTGAAATAACACTTAGGAGAACTGCCTGAAGGATGAATAGTTTGAATATGAGTTGAACTTGTTTGACACTGTCCACACATTTACTTAAATGGAATCCTTTTCTGGCCTTATGCCAGTAACTTACACCACACCATATTATAAGAAAGAGCCCCATGAAATCCAAATATTGTAAAAACTACTGAGGATATTTTTCAGAACATTATAGTACTGTTTTATAAAATGGGGTTCAGGATCTCAATAAAATCAGGAATACACAAGTTCCAGATATTTAATTGTTCTATTTTCAATTTGATGATAATAAAAATAATCTTTTAATATTTAGGGGAAAAAACAGTCTTACAGTAATAATTCACAACTGACAGACATTTTCAAAGACTAAGACTTGAGTTTTTCATTGAGTTCTATGGACTTAGATTCTCAGACTCTGAAAAAAATTGTCCCCTTTAAAGGAATCAACATGTTATTCAAGTCTGAAAAACACTGGATCACAGTCCTTTCTTAAGAATCATGGGAAAATGTTTCTTTTCTTTCAATACCAAAAATAGCTGTTCTCTGAATAACTGACATGTTTTGTCTCATGAATGCTGTGACTCATGTATTTAATTAGCTTTCCTGCTTTGCTAGAAAGATCAGCACCATAGTAATGGAAACACACTGGTTCTGGAGCTTTAAAATTTTAAATAGTACTTACTGTACCTGAAGATTTTCTAGTTTTGATTTAACAATAATGATTAGAGTTTTACAATGCCTTTACTTCCATTAAAGCAATTTAAAGAAATATATAAATATTTATTCATATCTATATCTATCTATCTATTTATTTATTTATTTATTTTTTGCTGAGCTTTATAAAATATGTATCATAAAGCTTCAGGAAAAACGGTCAGTGTAAATAAGTCTACATAACTATAAAGATGCTCCCCCCCAAAAAAATTTCTTGGATTTGATTTTAGCAAACTTAATTTTTCATGAGTCAAAATATCAAATATTTTTATAAAAAGCCTTGCTCTGATATACTTGAACTGAATATTAATAGCTCTGTTCCTATGAATGTAAATGCAGGTATTCATCATCTCATACCCAAATGTACCTATACAAAACAGATTTTCTTATTTTCAGTCTTGGTGTTCTCCAAACTATCCAGAATACTGCTGCCGATTAAACTTTATAAGACACCTCTCTCATTATGTCAGTTCTTTCAGTTCAAAAATCACTGATTTCCACTATGTATTTTAAACACTCACAGTGTCTAATCACAAAGACTAATTCTCAACAAGAAGCTTCTAATATGGTCCAGTTAATCCTAATACACATTAATTACTGGTTCATTTTGTTTTCTCTGCAAGTTATGTCCTCTGTATTTTTTTCCATTTTTCCCAGTCCAACCTCCCTCTCTCTAATTCCTACTGCACTGAAAAATATTTTAGGATAAGCATTTTTATACATAGTTTTACATTATCCTTCATATATTTGTGTCTTATTTCCCAAGAAAACTGTAAACAACATGTAAGCAAGACTATCTTTTAATCTCCATAGTAATGAAGTGCTAGGCATACAAGAAGCACACAATAAATACTTTGAAAACCAATCACAGTACAAAGAGATTGGTGATTATCTCTTTGTTTTATAGCAAAGGAAACTGAAAATTAAGACAAAATAAATCACTCAGTGTCACATTACTAGCCTCCCGCAGAGTCAGGACTATAACACCAATCTCTTGGTTCCATGTTTAATGCTCTTGACTAAATTTAAGGGAAGAAACAATTTTTTATTTTAATAACTTCTAATAAAGACCTAATATATTTTGAGTGATTCTACAGGTAAATATTTTCCAAATATAAAAATTGTTTACATTCAAAGCACTCCAGATGAACTCTACTTACTCTGGGAGAGATTACATTAGATATCATTTAGGAGAAACTTTTCATATTGCTGAAGCATATGTGTCTAGAAATTCAATTCTACATTCTTGATAAGAAAGTATTCTAATTTCTAGAACTGTCCAATACAGAGGCTTTAAAAAAAAAGTCTCATTCAACTATTTCTTATAAATTAAATAAAAATACTGACTTAAATGACTTAGGTCAATAAAAGTATATGCCAGGATCAGTAAAAGTATATAACACAATTTTATAATTGCTTAAAAGTACTAGATATGGTTCCAATATAGATTTTACCAAATTGCTTGTGTTATAAGCTCATCAATTTAAATTTGCCATTTTGTTTTGTGCACACTTATTTAAAGTATAAAAATATGAGGCAATCTTACCTTCTTGATAGGCTCCATCTGCCATGACTAAATGAAGAATCTTGGCATAAAGATGCTGATGTTCATTTCCCAAAATATTCTGAGCTATTGTTGAACAAGTCTCAATATTTTCATCTTCATCTTCATGAATAGCCTACACCAAATTTCCAAATATGAATATTTCAATATTATCTTTCTCTAAGATTTAAATTTTAAATATTCATTATTTATAATAAATCTACTGACCAATTAAAATCACTCACATTTTGCTAGTAATTCAAACAGAGAATATTTCAAAATTAAATGCTTTAACTGACATTTTACTTACCTTTATTTTCTCATAAACCTCAAAAAACTTTTCAAAGCCTATTTCCTGCTCCAGGTGAAGTCTTAGTGCCTCTAAATGGTTAAAGACACTTTCATATTCACATTCACTGGTTATCTCACCATCACTGTTATCTAAAACACATAAATAAAAAGAAGATATTTTATGATTAAAAAGGACTGAATAAAATAATTCTTACTCTAATACTAAAATTCTGTTAAGTGAATAATGTCACTGAAATATTGGGTTGTCGGAAAAGTCATGACGTATTTTTTCTATGTTTTTCATTGCAAAAATGTGTCATGACTTTTCCGACAACCCAGTAGCTTACTGTGTACTTTATAAAGTTTTCTTATTATATTTGTTATGTATATAGGTAATCGATATATATATATATATATATATATATATATATATATATATATATATATATATATATATAAATCTGTTTTAACAAGAATGTTACTTTGGAAATCTTTTCTTTTATAGGCACAAACAGTAAAGCAGGGTATATTAAAAACTTTCCTACAGCTATCATCTGATTTAGTAAAAAATGAAAAAAGCACACCCATATGTTCTATATCAAGGCAACCAACCCTAACTGCTATTTTTAAAAAGTTGATATTAAACGTGGGCCAAAACATGAAAAAGAATGCAGACGGCAGACAACCTAAGGTACATACCCTAAAACTTTAGTAAAGTACTTAAAAAGTATTATAAATGCTCTATATGTACATGCCGAGGATAACTTTAAAAAATTCTAGTAAAACACAAAATTACTAAAGAATCATTAGTAATTTTCACATTAGCTCCATTCCCCAAATAAATACAGCTATTGAAATACACAAATTTTCTCTGCATCTTAGTGGTAATGCTATGAACAAAGAATGTTTTCTAAACAAAAAGAAAGTGTCAAAGTTTTACAAACTGCTTTTGGTGTTAACCCTGCTGTTTAATCAACTGTATGCGGAAGCGCTCTGCAAAACATAAAGTGCTAAGAAAACTAAGTTATTATCTTTATTACTAGAAAAATAAGTCAAGAAATGGATATTATTATCCTGTCAAGAAAAAGAATAAAAATGCTTCAAAAACCATTTCCCTAATTTAGTGGGAAAGAAATGGAATAACTGTATATGTACATTTGTGTGAAAAGAAAAGAAAACGAATGAAAGTCAGACCCAGAAGCATGCTTCAGTTTTATTTCAAGTTGGAAATGGTTCATATCAGACATCAGAAAAAATACTCTACTTGAAATATTTGTACACGCTGAAAAAGAAAGAGGCCCACAATTATAATCACGCACCTGAGTGCCATTCTTCATTTAGAGCACTTTCACTGCTGGGATTGTCATCCTCATCTGCCAGATCTGTCCCAATTTCAGTCTGTTCTATGTCACAGTTCTTTAAGACTGACTCTTCCTCTTCACTGTATTCTTCCCCAGGTTGTTCCCTGAGTAACTGCTCCATAGAGGCCTGAAGTTCTTGTAAATCTGTGTCAGTTTCTTCAAACACACTGAAATTTTAAAAATTAAACAAAACATTATCAAAGCTTTACCTTATTCTGAAATTTCACTTCAACTCAAATGCATGCATGCCTTTCTACTTAAAAGTTTTATCAGTGGATAAAAAGAAACCTGAAAGAAAACCTACAATTTTTAACAAAGAAAATAAGGATTAATACAATGGATAAATAAAGCACATAACTGGAATACACAAGCCAAAAGATGACTTTTTAAAATGGTCCTGATTTGCCAAAGAGAATCATGTAACTATCAATACTATTCGTTACTTATATTTTGAAAGAAAGTTTCAATATTTTAAAAGGGCAGACTGAAGAGGTTTTGCACTTGCTTTCCAAAACAAATACTTAATATTCAAATATTTTTCTTTGATGTAATTTTGAAAGTTCAGCAAAATCTTGGTGTGAATGTATAATAATAGTACACTATACAAGAAACTTTCATATAATCTCTTACTGGGCATTTGAACTCTTAGAAATTAAAATACTTAGGGAATTATATGTTCAAGTTAATAGGATAAGCTAGTGAATAAAATGGTCACCAGAAGTCTTATCTGTAGATGCTTATTCTTGAAAATGTTTCTGAAATACACAATAAATAGACTTTACTGTATAATTAGAATACACTAACCATAATAATCTTCAGTGGGAATCTTGTTTCCAAGACATTGCTGAGGATGTTAATTCTATTTTCAAGGGATTATAGATACTACAGTGAACTATTTAATGCAAAAAAATATTATGTATTTGTATAGTACTTTAGTTTACTAAGCAGTTTTATTTAAATTTCATTCACACAAAACTCACTTTAGAGACATGGAAACTGTGACTCAAAGTGTAATGACTTATTCATGGCCACACAATAAATGACAAATACAGGATTGAAATCTAGGTCTTCTGACCACTTCTACGATACCCAAGAAATGTTCCCATCAGTGTTATCTCTCTCTTATTATTTGCTTCTTTCTCTTAAAGTGGCACGAAATGGAAACACTGGCTAAACCGAACACAAGGGCTTTTCTTAAAGTTTATACTCCAATCAAATAGCAAACATTTACTGGCCAACTAAAATATAAACAATATTATGTGAGACCTTAAATAAAACTTTCACTAATGGAAAAAAAATCTTTAAATGTAGAAATATCTTTATTTTGTACTTATGTGTAGTCCTACACTCTGAATTTGTAGCAGCTATAGAAAAGCAAAGCATGTAATTAGAATGACAGAGAGTGTCTAATTTTTTGGATCATCCCACTAGTAGCATTCAATTTACTATTTCATAACAAGACTAACATACCATGCGCATTTGCTATGTATCATCACTACAGTGACTGAACATTAACCTGTTGATAAAATCTCTTAGTGGCCATCCTTACAGTAAACAGTGTCCTCCACAGGGGTATACACACACACACACACACACACACACACACACACACACACACACACACACACACAAATAATGAGCAGGGCTGCTAAGTCTACCATTGTAAGAAAAATATAAGATTAAGATCTTTTATGAAATGAACACTTAAAAATTTGCCTCAGGTACTTTAAACCTGTCCCAAATTCACTTTTTAGTATGCTTTATTAAGTGACGTGAGTAAAGTTTGGCTCAATTTTTTTTCCCCAAAAGAAAATCTAAACTGAAATTTCCCTATGTAGATATGGATTAATTTACTGTGTTTCCCTGCGAATAAGACCTAACTGGAAAATAAGCCCTAGCATGATTTTTCAGGATGCTCGTAATATAAGTCCTACCCCAAACATAAGCCCCAGTTAAGATTGTCAGCCAGACATGACTGTTTGAATAAACGTAGATTTTTATACATGAATAAATGAGTAAGTATAGATTGTTGGAGCAAAATTAATATAAGACCTGGTGTTATTTTCGGGAAAACATGGTACTTTAAAAATAATTTAGTTTTCAAATTTTAAAAATAATATTAAAGGGTTCTAACTTGAATTTTAAAATAAAACTGTCAGCAACTAGTAGTTAAAAGTATGCAAGCCACAAATGAGCTGCAGTACACTCAGATAAAAACTGATGACTTTATAAAAACTTTAAGGAAAAAACTGTTACCTAGCTCTTTGTCAACCATAAGGTACTGAAATGTTGTATTCTCTATAGGATTAATAAAAACAGACAGCTAAAGTGCTTAATGGTCACAGCCAAGGAGAAGAAAAGACAGATGAAAAGGCAACTTTTGCTCCAAATTTTGAGCGCACCAGCAAAATTCTACAGAACTCTGTGAAAAATGATAAAAAAAAGGCAACCTTTAGAAGTTTGGTTAGAAATTTAACAAGAGGTAAAACTCAAGAAAAACAATGGCAAAATATAAAATGTACCAGAGGCAGTAGCCCTGATTCAAGTATTACAGGTGGAAAAAATCGTGAGGCTGATATAATACTTTTAATAAAACCAAACCACAAGTTCTTTCTATTGAATGGCAGAGGCAAAAAGAAGGAAATTAAATTTTTTTAAAAATCAGAAAATAAATCATACAAATTTTAATATGTTGTAATGTATTTTCCTGATGACTTGAATACACTTTAACTTCTCAAAACACTTTATTCCAGGGTACCCTGGTTTTATTTCCCCCAAAATTTGTAACATTTGTCTGAGGGGCTGAAAAGGCTGACTGATATGAAAGGTGAAGCAGGATTACTACCTAAAGGGCCATCACTTCCCACAGCTCCCAGAAGTGTTGGTTAAATTACCCTCCAAGATTTTAGATTCCTCATGAATCACGAAGACAGGAATTGTGTGAAAGCAATTAAGATACATGCAGAATTCACATGTAAACACATATACACAGGAAAACCAAACAACTATTCCACCTGTAACACCCCACTGCCATGGCTTTGAAATCATTCTCAGCAAGGGGTAGACGTGAATGAAGCTTTCTGATCATATTTCTGGGGGACTGCAGGATAGTAAGTGCTTCCCATTGCAATCCCTGTATCATACGGTGTTACATTATTAAATAGTCATTATCCTGCTAATATACATTCATTTAACATTTATTAAGCACCTACCATATGCAAATCATTGTGCTGGATGCTAAATGGGGAATAAGACAGAGAACACCAATAGAAACCATTTTCTTATATTCCTCAAGTGAGATTAAATTATACTACTGGGTTGTCGGAAAAAGCATGACGTATGTTTGCAACAGATGGCACTAGTTCATTTTTGGAAGTACTGGAGTCATTTGCATCTATGATATTGCTATGTCATTTGACAGCTGGACAGTTCTAGCTTCATTCTAAAAGAAAATTGAGCGATTTGGTTGAGTTTTGGAGATCTTACAAGTTGAAGATGAAAGACCAAACTGTGAATTTTTGCCATATTTTACTGTTTTACTTCCATGAAGGGAAGAACGCGCGTCAAGCTTGTGAAAAGTTGCATAAAGTTTATGGTGACAATGCTCTACAAGAACATCAGTGCCAACGATGGTTCACGGAATTCCATGCTGGTGACTTTGATATCAACGATGCTCCTCAGTCAGGGAGGCCCACCAAGATTGATGACGACAAAATAAAGGCATTGATCGAGTTAAACCCACATTACACGACACTAGAGATTGAAGAAACATTGAATATCCATTATTCAAGAGGTCACAACCACCTGAAGAAGCTGGGATACGTAAGCAAGCTCAATATTTGGGTTCCACATGTAATCAAGGAAGTTCATTTCACAGCGTGTATAAACATCTGTGGTATGCTCATTAAATGTCGTTTTTTTGAAGCGACTGATAACTGGTGATTGGAAGTGTATTGTTGACAACAATGTGGTGCGCAAACGATCTTGGTCCTGATGTGATGATTGGCCTCAAACAACATTGAAAGCAGACATTCATCAGAAGGTTATGCTCTCAGTGTGGTGGGATTTTAAAGGTGTCATGTTTTTCGAGCTCCTACCAAGGAACCAAACAATCAATTTGAACGTGTACTGTCGGCAATTGGACAGTTTGAACGAATCCATCATCCAGAAATGTTCAGAGCTTGTCAACTGTAAAGGAGTTGTGTTCCATCACGACAACGTGAGACCACCACACACAAGTTTGATCACCCATCAAAAGTTATTGGAGCTTGGATGGGATGTGTTGCCACACTCACCATACTCGCCTGATCTTGCGCCGTCAGACTTCCACTGTTTCGCTCTCTTCAAAACTCCTTGTGTGGTATAATGTTCAATTCAGATGAGGCCATAAATCAGTACCTTGTTCAGTTTTTCACAAACAAAAACAGGTCCTTCTATGAACAAGGAATTATGAAGCTCATTGAAAGATGGCAAAAGGTTATCGAACAAAACGGGCGATATATCATTGATTAATCTCTGTTCTTTATATAAATAAATGACCTTTGAAAAACATAGACAAAATATGTTGTGACTTTTCCGACAACCCAATATTTAGAGGCAGACATACATATCAAAATTTGCATGCCTATACTTTAAATAAATATGTTGTAAAAAGTTAAAGGAGTAGTGAAGTTAGCCACAGATCATTTAAAAAAACTGTCTAAGTAAGTCATCATCTCTAGAGCATACATAAATTCAGAAATTCTGTTCGTGTCACTATCTATTAATGACATCACACTCACATGTCTTCACAATCAGTAGGTCCTTTAACGTGTTCATCTTCAATTTCATCTATTTCAAGATTGTCTTGACGTGCATCTGCTACAGTAGGAACATCCATCAGTGTACTGAACAGTTTTGAGAGATCTGGGAGTGAACATGTTCTCAACATCTACAAAAAAGTCAACAGATTTCTTATTAGAAGATAATCAGGAAATAAAAACAAAAAAAAGAAAATTAGAGCTAACAATTTCATCATTATATCTGTTTATCTATCTATCTATCTATCTATCGGGTTGTCGGAAAAGTCATGACGTATTTCTGCAACGAAAAACATAGGAAAAAATATGTCATGACTTTTCCGAAACCAAATATTATATCTATTTTATAGATATATATTATATCTATATACCAAAAAATGTATACAAGTGGACACTTTAGTCAACGTTGCTCAAGCAGTAGTTCACTGTAATCAGAAGTGTCTGGATGCTGATAGTAACCACTTTGAGCACCTTTTGTAATCACAGAAGTCACACGTGACTTGTATTCATCTTTTGTTATCGGTATATATTGAGTATTACAATTTTAATAGTTTTTCCTTTCTTAAAATGTGTATACATTTTTAGGCACCCTCTGTACATACATACATACATACACGCGCACGCGTGCGCGCACGCATGGGTGTGTGTCTGAGTGTATGAAACCTAATTCTCTTTCATTTCAGCAAGAAACTAAACTTGTGAGTTATGTTTGGGTTTAACATATAAGTTTCAACATAAAGTATCCTTAAAAAAGTAGGGAGAGATGTTTATTTGGTGTATGCACATGGAATGGAATTGAAAATCTGTCAGGAATTAGGCAGTGCTAGAAACTGCCAATTTGCTCCTTCTCACTCATAGCCCATACTGTCCCTCTTTCATGGTATCTCTGCTAAGTCTTCCTCTAACTTTCCTATGGCCAACCCTCCCCATATATTTTTACCCAAATCCTGAAGTGAGTTAGTCTGAATCATAGCTAGGAACCATCACACATAATTGGTGGCCCTTTGTATCACTTTATCCCTAGGAGTTGCTGACTACCCAAACACTGGTTAAATCAGTGGCCTCAAATTAGTGCAAAACAAACTAACAAACAAAAGACCCAACAACAACAACAGCCTAACATTGCTCACCTGGGTAATAAACTATGAGTGGAGCCTTTCCCACTATGGGAGGCTAAAAAGACAGGCAACTTGATGTTCACACTGAGAATCACCTGTAGCAACCAGGCGAGAAGGAACTCAGCAAACTGAGCTGAGAAAACACAATGTACACTTGAGGTGTTTAAAACTTGAATTTGTGTTAGATAAGACCAGAAATAATAGGAATAGCTTCTGTCACATTCAACAATTAGAATGTGATGGATACACAGGGCTATGAAACCAATATCTACTACAGAAGTCTGGAGGTCGCGTTAACCCTGAAGTAATCTGTGAGATTTGAAACATGACTCCTACAGCCCTGATGAGAACCCTACACCAGATGGGAGACTGTGAAGGAAACACAATGTTTAGCATAGTAATGAACATTTATATATTTGGCCAATTTTATTGGTACAACTTGTTTTTGAGAATAAAAAAAGATAGATTTCCATTATTTGAACATAATTTACATATTATAGCACTCAAGAGGACAAAAATGGTAATGAACTACAAGATGGTGAAGATACACTGGTTGTTAAAGCACTTAATAATGGTACTGAAAGTTATTTCTTTTGCTAAATCTCCCACTGTCAGCAGAATTTATGCTTGACTTATGTATTATTTTAGTGGCTTGAATCATGTGTATCATAAATCAGCAGTATGCAAAATGTGTACCCAGCAAGTTTCTCCAGACATACACTAATCAATAAAAATAAATAGTACAGATGCATTACATACTCTAAATACAAGGGGACTATACAAAAGGATGCAATAGTTTTTAGGCTGAGATCAATTTCCTGGAAAAAATCATCTCATTTCTAATTTATTCCTTTCACTAATAAAAATTACTTTTATAATGCAACATAAAATAACACAGAAAGAAATTTCAAGTGGTATGTAAGTCGACAACATTCCTCTCAGAATGGGTTTATAACACCTAGCAATCCAACAGCTATTTGTTCTATATTAAAAACTCTTTATGTTCAGTCTTCTTTGATAAGCTGACAGCTTAAGATATCCATCTTCAGTCAGAAAAATTTTATATAACACTTTCAGTTCTATAATTCTATTTCTAATTTTTTCATATTGTTTAAATAATAGTCTATAGTTTTAATATTCATAGAAATAAATCTTCCTGAAAATAGCTGTTCATCCATAACATGTTGCTTCAAATTTTAAATTCATTTATAGTCAGACTGATTTTTTTTCCTAGATTCTGTATAGTATGATTTTACACAGTTGGCATTTGATGCAATTATAAATCAAACAGGAGAGCAATGTTTAGGAAACTTTAAAACATTTAAAATATATATATTCTTCCTTTAGGTTATTTTTTGTTGGTTAAGTTCTATTTTTTATTTTTTTTCAAAAATTAAGAAAGCCATGTAAGATAGTAAATGAATTAATTTCTAGTTGCAGTAACAGAACTTCACATGAAATTCTACTTGAAAAAATTGCCAACTCACTTTTTCATCTGTAGTATTTTTCATATAATACTATGAATTGGTAATAATCTTGTTCTATTACAAAATAGTTTATGATGAGCACATTTGTTTAGACTCTGTTTACTTCAATTAAATGATAACACTGTGCCTCAAAATAGCCTGTACAAATATTTGCTAACTTCAACCCATAAACCGGGTTAAAAATAATGAATTTAAAACGCTAATTAAAAAATTATGATCACTCACCAAAGGCAAAAATTAGGAACATTATCCAAGAATTGATATTTTAGCAAATCAAAAGAAGACAGTTTAGGCACATGGGCTATTTAAACTGTATATTAATATTTTCCCTCCACCTTGCATTTGCTATAACAAGAAAAGAAATTCTCAAGTTTTCATAGAGGTCAGTTTCCATTCCACTACTCAGATGAGAAAAGCATCACTGGAACACCTGTGGTCTCTGCACCCGGTATTCATTACCCTAAAGTGAGGAGGGTCCAAAGGGAAGGACGAGCAGTTTCACTTGGCAACCTACATGCTGCTCGTACATTAGCCAGATCATAGAGATCACATCTGTAGATTATTTTATTTTGAACTATTACGAATTTACATTCAGTGATCTTTGTTGTATTCTCAATGTTATCAAGTAACTCTATTGCAAATATATAGCTTGTGAAAGCTCTACTGTATTTACAGTGTTTCTTGTTAGAAACAACGCAAATGAGAAGACAATATAATTCTAAATCTAATGGAAATATCCCTTCAAAATGAAAATGAAATGAAAATATTTTTAAATAAACAAAAGCTGAAAAAAAATTATTATCAACAGGGCTAATAAAAGTGATAAAAGTGATAAAGGAAGTTCTTAAAGTGAAAGAAAAATAATATCAGATAGAAACTTGAAATTTACACAAAGGAATGAAGAAATCAGAAATGGTAAATATGTAAATATAAAAGCCTTTCTCAATTTTTGTTTTCTGTAAAAGATAATTGAATGTTTAAGGCAAAAACAATAAAAATGTTTTGTGGAGTTAATAACATGAGAAGTAAAGTATGTGAAACAATATCACGAAGGATAGGCAAGAGAGTAGAAATCAAAGTATGCTGTTGTAAGGTTCTTATATGTGAATTAGTATATTTGAAGAGAGACTGTGATAAGCTAAAGATGTATCTTACAAACTGAGAATGATACTAAATATTTTTTTAAGTGACATTTTCCATGTAAGGAGCATACTTGCCTTTGGGTTGTTTGCATCAAATAGACCAGTTGAAAGTCCAATCAGCAAGGAATTTTTGCTTTTATTTCTTGGTGGTGAATCAGAGCGAGATCGAAGTGGAACGGATTCTTCTGGTGAACCCGGAATTGATTGAATTTGGGAGAGTACATTCAAGTGCTCGGAATGAATCACTTTATGGAAAAACGGTTCTGGATGCATAGATTTATCTACACCACATTTAGAGCGCTGAGAACCATCTATTCCAGGTTCTGTGGTATAAAGCAAAGATTATGTAGTAAGTCTATATAGCACTTAAAGAAAGTTTTAAGTTATATTGAAAAAGCACAGTATTTAACATGAATGCTAGCAAAAACTTCATGTTTCTCAGAAAACCAAAATCAAAATTTATACAGTAAGTTGTCAATAGATTCTGTGACTTTAAGCATAATGACATATAACAAAACCAATTTTACCACAGGCTAGTTGATATAAACAAGAGTTAAGTCGATGTTTCATCAATGTTATAATGAAACAACATTGAATGAAGTGATGTTATTAGAGGACCTGTTGTGTGTAATTATATTACCTTATAAATAATCTTTAACAGGATATACTGTTTTATTTTCAGAAAGATTTAATTTGTTACATACTTCCATGACACTGGTAGTTCTAAAATGTACACACACATACAAGGAATTGTGAAAAAATACTCTTTAGATATTTGTATTTAGTTTCAGTTTATCTTGGTTCCTATAGGTTAGATAGAAAAAAGTATACTTTTTATATTCTAATTAACACTATTAAAAACAAGAGGACAACTTATTTAATGTCCTTACTATATTGGCTTAGTTTTGGCAAGCAATTCTTTTCATTTTGAACATTCAACAAAATAAGTGACCTGAAAGTTTCATTGCTCATGTTGTCAAATGATCAAAAGGTAATAAAAGCAGAGTCCAGTGCTTTATGCCTATTACATTTTTTAAATGATTGAGGAGACTGACAAGGGATGCTCTCTATTAATATACTGTCCAAATAAAACAGGTTAGTGTTAACAACCTTCCAGAAAGTAATTAGACCAATATAATGATGCTTACCTATATGAACTTCACTAAGTTGACCCACATTGCTCGGGATTCCATCTTCAGAAACTTCATTCTGCTGAATGGTGGTGATCCTATCTTCCATCCTGCCACAGATAGATACACCAGTAAAAAAAAAAAAAAAAAAAAAAAACCCCAAAAAACATAGTTTACTGGAAATAAAAGCACTTTCAAATACAAAAATGGAACACAAGTTCAATAGCATCCTGTGATCCTTCTTTCCAAATATTTTTCACACACATATATATATATATATATGCTTTCTCTCATAAGCACAATATATTTTTTACCCTATCAAACCTTCACCAATCTCATAATTCACAACAACCAGCCCCACCATTTCTTATAACAGTAGTTCCCAAAATGTGGCCCCTAGACATCAGCAACACAACTTGTGAGAAATGCAAATTCTCAGGCCCCACCCTAGAGCATTAATCAGAAACTTTGGGGGACAAGTCCAATCAATTTATTTTAATAAATCCCAAAGCAGTTGTACTGCTTGCTAATGTTTGAGAACCACTAGTTTAAGCAATCATAATGCCCCTTAACAGCAGAGATGATAAAGCATTTCTGATATATTAATACTATGAAATATCATAAAGCTGTTAAAAATGAAGCAGAAATCTATATGAATTGATATGGAATGATAGTTAAAATATATTAAGAAAGAAAAGTAATTTGCAGGTCAATTTGTATTAAATGGTGTTATGTTTTGGGAAAACAGTGTGTAGTAAAGTAAAAGGAATAGAATGATATATGCCCAAGAATGTTTTAACCCTCAAAGGCAGTGAATTAATTGAGGGCAAAAGGTAAAGAAGAAGTGGCAATTTTTATCTCAATTAAATTCATGTGCTATATATTTTAACAAAAATTTAAATACTGGAAGAATATAATTCTTCCATTGAAAAGAATATAAAGGTACCAGTAATGTAGCTCTGGGGGTTTGGTTTATAGGCAGTTTTTGTTTTTTTAATATTTTTAATCCACCTCGAATTTAAGCAGCTTTTTACTTTTTCAGTTTTAAATTTTGAACCATTTTCCATTTTTATTTTTAAAAGTTTTTATTTATTTTTAATCATACAAGTAATACAATTCTTCATTCAAAATGGTTCCTTGGTTCCACAAAAAAGTTAAACATAGAATTACCATATGCCTCTGCAATTCCACTCCTAGGTATACACCCAAAGGAAATGAATGCAACTGTTATGAAAACTTGTACATAAATGTTCACAGAAGTACTATTCACAATGGCCAAAAGGTATAAGCAACCCTGGAAATGACATACATCATCTGCTGAATGTACATTAACTGCTGAATGGATAAAAATGTATCGTATAATTCACATAATGGGGTATTACTCAGATATAAAAAGGAATGAAGAGTGGATACATCCAACAACATAGATGTACGTACTTTGAAAACAGTATGCTAACTGAAAGAAGCCAGATACCAAAAGTCACACGCTATATGATTCGATATGAAACATCCACAATATGCAAATCCAGAGACAGAAAGCAAATTAGTGGTTGCCAGGCATTGGAGGGGATGAAAAAATGGGGAGTGGCTGCTTACCAGGTACAGGGATACATCCTGGGGTGATGAAAATGTTCTGTAATCACACAGTGATAATGGCTGGACAACACTGTGAATGTACTAAATACTACTGAAGTACATTTTAAAGTGGTTAAAATGATAAATTTTGTGTTACATAAATTTTACCTCAATTAAAAAAAAAATAATGTTTGTTTTAGGACTCCCCTAATTACTTAATCGCAGTTGCCTTTGCTGTTATCAGTTTGGTGTACATCTGACCATACTTTTCCTTCAAATTTGCATACATATATATGTACCTGAGTGTGTATATATATATATATATATATATATATATATATATAATAATTTTTACATAGAATTATCATAGTGTTATTCTAACATAAGAAAACGTTTTTTTAATTCAATATAATGGTTTAATTAATCATTCAATATTTTGGACATCTTTATATATAAACAGAGAACTCACAGAAAAGGCAATAAAAATGAAAGTTAAACATTTGAAAAGATGTGCTCAACTGTTCCAAAAATAAGAGATAAACTAAGACTCTAAATAGAGATACTATTTTTTACCTATCAGATTGGCAGAAAACAAAAACTTTGATAATAAATGTTTAGCAAGGCTGTGGAGAAAATAGTTTTCATACATTCTTTCTGAGAACATAAATTAGTACAACTCCATGGGAAAACAATAACTGAATTACAATTGCAATTTATAAAAATGCAACTGACCCAGCAATTATACTTCAATGTATCTATCCTACAGACATACTTATATACATGAAAAATTGCCTTATTAAAAGGTTATTCACTGCAGCATCATTTGTAGTATCAATTAATATAGGAGACTTACGAAGTGAGTTGTTGTATATACATACAATGGAATACTAAGTAGCCATACAATTTTTAAAAAGAGGAAGTCCTCTATGTATTAATATAAAAGAACTCCAAGGTTACTAACAATAAAAAAGGTGAAAAACACTGTGTACATTATACTAACAATTGTATTTAAAAGGGAGGTGGACTGTATTTTTTTTTTTTTTCTTATATACATACATATTAAAAATATCCGGAAGGACGAAAGGGTGGGAGTTTGCTGGATGGGGACATTTTTACTGTATGTCTTTATATACTTGCTGATTTCTAAACCACATGAATGTACTTAAAATTTTAATTATTTTATAAGGTATTCTAATAGGATATAGTGCAATATTAAGTTATTACAGTATTTCTTAAAAATGTATTACAAAAAGGGACCCAGGTTTTGACATGTAAAGAAAAAGAGATGACATACTCAGTTTCTTTTGTTTCTTTTATCTCACTAACCCACACGTCCATAACAGTGCAAGGCAAGCTACCATCTTTGTTTGCTTCACTTGACTCTTGTAGAACTTCTGTTTCCAAGTCATCAGGTTCTGAAAAGCAAAAACATAAAAAACATGTCTCCAAGAACAATTCGTTTGGAGAAAATAGAATAAATTTTCTATAAATTACCATTATCTAGTTTCAGGTTAATATGCTAATTATAACAGAAAAAAGTTAAATGTTTTATCTATAGATTTTTCATCTTGTTATTGTGTTAACTCTCTACTTTAGTTGTTTCTGAAACAATAGACTTTTCCTTTCGCATTCTCACTGCAATAAAAATACCCAAAAGAAATTTTGTACACTCCGTATTTTTCATTAGTATATAAAATTTCCCTTAAAATTTCAGTAGGATGTAAACTGCTTTAAAGAAGGTATGAAAACTAGTTTTAAGAATAACAGTACCTGTGGTTAGAAATATGGAAGGGAATAGACTGTAATATCATCGATTAGTAACCTACAGGAAAGTTCAATCATCGAAATCTATCTTTCAACAATCAAAAAAGGAAAAAAGAATCCTATCACCTAAACTTTCATAATGATAATGAGAACATAATTAAAGTACACTAAATCTATTTTCGTAGAACCTCAAATAATTAATAACCAGAGTACCAACTCTATTTTCTGGCAGTGGCTCATTTTTTACCTGGTTGATATTTTCTGAATGTAAACAGTGATGAGAAGGGTTTTTCTTCATTTGTTAACTTCATTTTCCTCTGCAATTCAGGTATCAGTACTATCTTGTTTAAGCCACCATCTCCCCCTCTTTTTTTCCCTGAAATCTAGATAGCCTTTCCTTCTATATTTTTAAAGTTTCCAATTAGCTGCCCTATTTAGAAAGATAACTGAATTGTATCAATCCTTAATCTTTTTATCTTTTATTCATATGATTTTTTGGGTTACTCACACAAGCACTTGGGGATGGGGGTCCTTTTATCATTACTTTTTAATGGGTAATTGTTCTCTAGCACCTTAACCATATTAATACGATGCCTTCTACAAAACAGATTTGTGACTTTATTACCTGCAAAGTTTAAAATTTTTACGATGTGGCTCTTTGTAGAAAACGCTTGCTGGCTTTTGCACTGGACTATATGGCCTCTATATATGCCTAACAGGGTTTTGGGTTTTTTTTAAGATACCAACTAACTACAATTCTAACAAATAAGACTATGTAAGTTACTGTGGTGAATTAAAGACAGTCATACATATAGGAAGGACTCTGACATCTTTCTCATCCAGAGGGAGGCTATGTGTTCCTCCCCTTAAACATGGGCCAGCATTGTGATTGCCTTGACCAAGTGAGTACAGCTGAACTATTGCTATGGCAGTTCCAGGTCTAGCCTTTAAGAGAAGCGGCAGCGTCCACCTTGGAATCTGGAAGCCTAAGCCACCGTGAGAGAAGTTGAACTATCCTGGAAAGACCATGTGGCAAGGCCATGAGGCTAAAATGAAGTGAAGTACCCCAGATGACCAGGCCCAGCCGAGCCCTGCCAAGACACCATGCATGGGAGAGGCATCATCTTGCATGCTCCAGATAACCAGCTGACAGCTGAACACCACTGAGTGAGGCCAACTGATGCCACATAAAGGAGAAGAACCTTCCCAATTCCTAACCCACAAAAAGTGTGAGATAAAATACAAGTTATTTTAAGTCACTAAGTTATGGGAGTCATTTGTTTTGCATCAATAGGTAACTGAAATAGAATTTCCTATCTGAAAATTGGGTGCTGACCTAACAAAAGCCTAAAACATATGCATTGGTTTTGGGACTGGAAAGCAGGCAGAAGTTGAAAGGGCTTCAGGGAGACTGTTGGTGAGAGGCTGGCCAGTGGAAAAAAAGTTATTGGAGACTGGAGAAAAGGGATTCTTGTTATACAGTGGCAGGAAATTGGTACCTATGAAAACCAGGACTATAGAAAATGTACTTAATAGATCCAATGATCTAGCTAAGGAGCTATCTATGCATAACATCGAAAGCGCCAGCTAGCTCCTTCTAATAGCCTCTAATGAAGCACAAGGACAGAGAGAGCTTAATTGAAGAAAGAACTGTTTAGTTTGTAAGGAGAATATAGAAAAGAAAGTCCAAGATAATTCCTTCTAGGCACCAAAAGCTTCTAAAGGGAAGACAAGGCTTCAAGACAAACATGCAATTTAGGACAGTAAAATGTGGTCTCGGGAAAGATAAAGGCAAGGGTGTGGCCATAAAGCCATCTGTTTCAGCACAGAAAGATTTACAGGCATGTCTCGCAGACTGTCTCTGCTGGACAAAAGGATTTCTATGCATCTCCAAAGCACTGCCTCACAGCATCCTCAAAGACACCTCAGGGTAGAGAAGGGCCAGTCTCCCCCCCAAAAAATAAAACCAAGCAAACAAAGAGTGGTTTTGTCAAATGTAGTGAATGTCAATAACATTCATACAAAATCTACAAAATTATTAACAAAATCCTACTTGCAGAAGCACCACCAGGAAAAGATATAGTTCAGAAGAGAAGAACCCTTGAGGACAGCAACTTTTGGTATACAGGAAGCACGTTGACAATGCTAGTCTCAGCTGGACTTCAGAAGTTTTATGGACTAGTGATTGCTATGTACTTCCCATTTTCCTTGTTTTTGAAAAGGAGTCTCTATTCCTGTTTCACCATTATATTTCAGGTATATGAAAGGCAAGTAACTTTCTCTTTTACTTATACATCTTCAGGTTGAGAGTAACTGTATTCAAAAAACTGTACCGAAGGAAACTTATGTGTACACAGGCCTGACTTATAACAAAATCTTTAGACTTTGAGCCGATGTCATAATAAAATGAGGCTTTGAGAAGGAATGTATTTTGCATGTGAAGGGAACGTGAATAACTTTTTGTCCAACGGCAGACTGTGGCAGATTACAGATGGCTATACATTCTTTAGCACTAGTACCTTTGAAAGGTGGGGTCTGTTTTGCCTCCCTGTGAATCCAAGCTGGCATGTGACTGCTTTGACCAATGAAGTATGGCAGAAGTGATAGAGTACCAATTCTGAGGCTAGCTTTTAAGAATACAATCAGCCCTAACCTAGGTATGTATAAGCCCTGGACCACCATATAAGAAGTAGGACTACTTGCTGGAAAGAGGGCATAGAAAGGCCTAGAGACTATATGAAGAGGGAGAGTGGCCCAGCTTAGCCCGGTCTTCCAGGCTATCTTGGACCCATCAGAATAGCCTGGCTACCAGCTGAATCCCACCAAGCTATCCCAGAGACAAAAGCACATGGATCAAAAAAATATACATATTATCACATTAGCCAAGCCTTGACTCAATTCCAGACACACAAAACCGTTTTAACACTAAGTTTTGGGGTGATTTATTGTATTGCAATAAAAAAAGACTAGTTACTAAAAGTATAAAAATAGTGAACCTGATTTGAAATGAATCACCCAAACATACACACATATTTTGATGATTTGTTTATAAAGAAAAAATTAAAGTATTATTAAATTAAATATAGCTCATTTTTACCCACTAAAACATACCATCCATATTTCCTTCTGGTTTCAATGACATCTGTGGAGATGCCTCACTAAACTTTGGACTATTTCCATCAACAGAAGAATCAACAGTAGCTGATGGGTTCATTTCAAGTGAAATACATTTTACTTTTTCTTCTCCACTAATTAAGGGTTTGCAGTTCTCCCCTTCAGGAGAAATATCTGAAACAACAAAAATGAGAAATCATGTTACGTTTTCACAGTGACTTGAATTTTACCTGTAACAGCATTTAGAGCAAGAGCAAAGTACAGAAAGTGCACTTAAACAGGCAATTATTGGTTAAGCTCTGTTATATAGTAGAAACTAAGAAATGGTTGAGGTATATTTAACAAAATTTCATTTTAATTATACATAATGATTTCTAGGGTGATTAACATAGGGTTTACTTTTTTTTCCTTTTGGTGAAACAGATATATATGTGTCAGAATGGTATTTTTAAATTATTAACCATTTTTTTGTTTATTTCTGGTAATTGCTAGTTACTTCTAATTGCTCAGAAACTCTCCATACTTTAACTGATGCCAAGAAGAAAGGATTTATCTCAGAACAACTTACTGCCATTATCTACAAGACCCCCAGAGGTCACTCCCTTTCATTACTTGAAGATGTTACTTTTCAGCTCATTGTCACATCTTCCCAACACTAATACTGCCTTAACTAATTAGGTTGATTTCTATAGCTACACCAATAATCCTTCCAATATATGGACTTCCAGTTCCTCTCCAATGATCTTATATTCACCATACCTCAGTCACTCTAATGATCATAACTTAGAGACCTTGTCATTAATTACAGTTCCGAAATGTTCAATGTTAAATATTCCACCTTCTAATATTTAACATCGTATTTTTCCACCTATCTCCCTCTACTACCTCAACTCTAAAACATGTTACTCTGGCAGGATCTACAATACATTGATCTTACCATGTCTTCTCTCCCTATGATCCCCATTAAAATTCAACTAACTAAAGTCCATCATTATAATCATTCTTTTGCATACTTCCTCAACTCATCATACTCATGGAACAAAATCCCAACCCTGCATAAATTCAGTTTTCTGCATACTATGTCTGTATATACAAGGCTGAGTGACTGGAGAAAAACAGAGAACCTTGCTCATTGGTCTTGATTTCCATTCAAGTGGTCCTTTGTGTTGCCTGTGGTCATACTAAAACAGTGGATTAGTAGGAACTGCACCCAGTTCAGTTAATTTCCTTAGGAAAAAAAGTTGTGTATAGGTATTTGTTAGTTGTTTTATCTTACTTCTTCCTAGTCAACAGAGAACAAAACTATAGAGCTACGCATGTTTTGGAATATCGTCCCTTCACCAAGCCTAACAACAAATTGATTGTAGTAGAGGTCACATTCAGGCTTACTGTTATGCTATAAAAGTCGTGTCTACTGAAATCAGGTACAAGGACGCCAGACAGCATTATTACTATTAAAGATTGCTTTCCAGGGTCTAACAAATGCAGTAAGGAGAAGAAAAAATCTAAATAAATATAAGACAAAAAACTATTTGTTTTTACTGATGATATAACCTCAACATTTGGAAGATCTAAGATGTCAAGGAAAAAACTTAATAGATTTAATAAAATAATTCAGTAAGGAGTCTGGATATAAAATTTTACATAGATAGATAAAAAGAATAGCTTTATTTTAACTAGAAATAACAACTTAGAAAAGTAAATGTAGATAATATATCGCCCATTTTACAGATAAAATACACATTGTAGTAGAATGAATTTACCAAAAAAAGTTTAGAACTTAAATGAAGAAACAAAATGTTATGGACAAACACAAAAGATTGGCAAAAATAAAGGCATACTTAAATTCTTGAATGTAATAGCATAAAAATAATACTCCAAAACCAATATATAAATTAAAACAATTCTAATTATACCCCATTAGATAAGATGAACTTAAAATTTGTTTGAAATAATAATTATCTAAAAATAACCAGGAAAAATATTTTAGTATTCCAATTAGATTAATGATCTTATATATGTGTGTGTGCGTGTGGGAAAACTTTCCAAAAAGGAAATTCAGAAGACGTAAATAAAAAAACATATCAATATGAAAATTTTAAAAACGTTGCATTTCCAAAAATATCATAAAAATAAGTGAAATAATAGAGCATGGAAAAAACTATGACGACATGCTAAATAAAGGTTATCTATACTAGATTAAAAATTCACAAGATGGCCGGCCGAATGGCGCGATAGTTACGAACTGGCTTGGGACGCCAGAGGGCCCAGGTTCGGATCCCACATATGAGGGCCAGTGACACTGCCCTCTACAGCTAAGATGCTGAGCAACAGCTCAACCTGGAGCTGGCCTGCCCTGAGTCGCCAGCGACGGCGTAGGCTGCAGCCCCTGGGCCATGTGGCAGTGGGTAGCCAGCAGCCAGCGGGAGTGGCCAGCAGCCGCAGTGAGCGGCCGTCCAGAAGCTGGCGACCGACTGATCTGCCTTGCCCGGGCAGAGCGCAATGATGGTGCCAACTTGGGCCAGTGAAGCAACGTCCTCCACAACTAGACTGAAGAACAAAA